TATATATATATATATATATATATATATATATATATATATAGAGTGTATGATGATTAAGTAAGATTTATAAGAATTCCTTTTTACCTTTTTTTTTTTTCTTTCCAATATAATTCTATGACAAGTCTCCATGTGGCGAGTGAGATGATGCGAGCGTTTGAATGCAGTATTACATTGCATGCAGGCAAATGGCCGATGTTGCTCATGCGACAATTTATGTCTTTTTCAGTAAGCTATTTCTTTTGAATGCTTTGCCACATTCTTCACAGATAAATTCGCGTTCTTTATTATGAACATAAAGTACATGATCTTTGAGAATGCTGACGCTGGTAAATGTTTTGCCGCAATATTCACATATAACATTTCGTTCTTCAACATGCAGCTGCTTATGTCTATCCAGATCTGTTCTTCTGGCACATTGAAATTTACATCCGTATATGTTACAAGCAAATTGCTTTGCACCTCTGTGAATACGTCTGATGTGTTGATCTAAAGATCGTTGCGTAATCAATTTTTTCGAACAAATTACACATGAAAATATAGCTTTTACAGGTATATCTTTATTAACTTTATTAAGATGTAACGCAGACTCCAAGTGTCGAAAATAATCGTCTTTTTTTACAAACGTGTATTTGCAGTCAGCACAAAAATATGAACCTATAAAATAATATACGAGATAAAATGTAATGAAAGAGGATACTTATATATATAGATAATATATATATTAACTTCAATTATATTAATTGTGATATTTGTTACCATTTGTCGATTCTTGCTCGCTTAATTTTGCTATATGAACTGCTTTTAAATGTTCATGCACTTTCCTCTTTGATGCAAAAGTAGTATCACAATTTGGACACTTATAGTTATCATGATTCTGAATGTGAGATAAATATGTCTGCTCGTTACTGAATGTTTGCAAACATTGTTGGCATTTGAATTGCCTCTTTTTACAATGGTTTTCTTCGTGTTCTTTTTTATCTGTATCCATGCTTATCATATCTCCACATTCTGAACATACCTTGCCATTCTGATAGCTGTGTTTTGCTCTATGACGGTTTAAAAGAACACGTTTAGGGAAACTTTTAGGGCATATGTCACATAAATGAGGATGTTTGACTACTTTTTCTCCATGTATACGGAATAAGTGAACTTCTAAATGCTTTCGTCTAGCAAATTTTTCATTACAACGAGGACAATTATTTTTTTGATGACCTTCCAAGTGTCGATCCAAATGTCTCTTATATCTGAATGTCATCAGGCATTGTTCGCACTTCTGAATTTGTTCATCTCTGTTTGATAACATGAGATTATTAATTTTTATTTCATCTTTCAACTTTGATATAATATTCAGATTTATATAATTGTTATCTTTGCTGATATTGGAATCTATATTATTTTCTGTATAAAGTTTGATATTACAATTATAATTTTCTGTTTGTTTGCTTTCTTGATCTTTATCAACTATGTAAGATTCATTATTATTGACAGTTGTTACTGTATCATCAGACTCCTTACTTGAACCATTTGAAAAATTTGAAAAGTTCAGATTCATTGTATCAAAATGTTGAATTGAATGTAAAATATTATCATTTATTAATCCATCCTGTTTTATCTTTTCCTTTTTACTCTTTATACTATTCATAGACTCTTCAGTATTTTTTAAGAACAAGCTTTCAATTTTCATAAAATTAAAATCAATGCTGTTCAGATTAACATCATCCAAGCAGCCTGTCTGTAAACCAATTTCTGCGACATTTGTGGACGTGGTTACTAGGTTGACATCAGAGTTCTTAATTTCAAGATTATCAATGCATTCTCTCAAATAGTCACAGTTCTCCATTTCGATATTTTCTATACATACGTTTGGCACAGCATCCAGAGTCGAGTAATCCTGAAAGGCAGAAGAATGTTATAAGAAAAGTTAGATATAAATATCTGACGAAACGAGCATGGATGGCATGTTTTAGAAAACTCTTGTAAGCATTTTACCTGACTGCCAAACAAATGTAGTGTCATCATCTCGGATCGTGATAATCAATCTCTCAACACTTGAGAATGCAATCGTTACATCGTACGTAACAGACGGCGTAACATCTAGTTCGTTATTTTATTAAAAAAATTATGTTGAACATTGAAGGAATCGTATGAATCTTTCAAAACATTCCTAAGGTAACTGCATAACCTAAAGAGTATTGAGCGAAAAACTAAAAATGTTCATACAATGTTCATACATGCATATATATATATATATATATATGCATGTATATATAGATTTGTTCTTTTTCAATTGAACTTCTTGCACGGTTCATCTTTTGTCTTTTTCTGTCTAACATGGAAAGAAAACGAAGAAAGATAAACTGCGCAAAAAGTTTATTTGAAAAGAACAAACCTAATATTGAAAATATTAGATCATTTGCTGCGTTCAGCAGAAAAAGCAATTTTGTAATCATATAAGAATTTTTGATATAATTGGATCTTAGTTTTTTTATCTAGGATTTAAAGACGGTAGTCAGTTTTTTAGGATGCGTTTCGAAATTCACTGCCAGTACTGAAAATCTACAATATACGTGACCTGAACTATATATTTTCAGTACTGGCAATGAATTTCGAAACGCAGTCATAGTCAGTTCTTATATTTAAAATCACCTTAAGATTGACCAATCAAAAAGATGAAGTTAGTAATTGGTAGAATTGAATTTAAGAATATATTATATTTAAGT